CCGCCCGAGGAAGGTGGCCGCGGCTGCTGGCACGCGGTCCAGCCACGCGAGGCCGCGAGGCCCGGCGCCCCTGTGTCCTGTCACCTTGGGCCGCGGGCTCACCGAGTGCCAGTCTACACGAGAGGTCCAGCGGACCACCCCCACTCCCCAGCGCCTTCTCGCGCGACCCCATAGACAAGGTACCCGGGATCACCAAAGGCAGCAGCCCTCCAAGGCCCGCCGTCCTAAAACGTTTGTGGCCGGTTTTTGTGGCATTAGTCACCCCAGGTTCCTGCGGGCGGGCACTATTGCCTGCGAGAAATCAAGGGCTCCCCCCTTCAGGGAAGGAAATTTACATCCGTCAAACAAGCAAATCTCCGTATCCCCTGACCCCATTTAACACAAGGGAGCGAGGCCTGAAGATGTGAAGAGCAGCAGGGCCCGTGCCAGCAGCCAGGCCTCCAGCCCCTCTGGCCCAGCCGGCTGCAGTGCCTCCAGCACACAGCACAGGTCCAAGGCACCCAGGAGGCAAGTGGCTAGCACCTGGTCGGGGTGGAGCCTCAGCTGTGCCCCACGAGTGGGGCCCCGGCTTCTTGGATGACCTCTGCTGGGAGATGGGGGTCTAAACGACCCCAGGGACTGCTGGGCTTTGCCTGATGTCTGGCTGGAAACTGTTTCACCACACAGCCCTAAACATAGCTTGTTCCCACACTGTGGCAGGAATAGAACTGGTGGCTCCAGAGCGCAGCCCACACAAGCGTTAGGGAACAGAACAACTCAGCGCCTCCGTGCCTGGCAGGGGAGGGAGGGAGGCAGCAGGCTTCCCCCCCCCCCCCCCCCAGCTGTTCCCTTGGCTCCCTCAGGGCCCCCACACTGCAACTGGCTTTCCTCCCCAGCCTCCCACTTCTCCCTAGAGGAGATATATGTTTGGGTGGAGCTGTAGGCCCAGGACTCCCATGATGGTTTGTGTGTGTGTGTGTGTGTGTGTGTGTGTGTAACTTCAAAAATTGTGTTGTGTGCATCTTTCACGGCAGATGGCACAGAGGTCATCAAATTCTCAAAGGCGGTCGCCCTGCTGCACCAAGGTGCAGCAGGGAGCAGGCTGGGTGGACAGCAGACACCCAGCAGCAGCCTGGGCCCAGAGGTGGTAGGGTCTGCAGACAGCTACCACAGAAGCAGCAGGCAGCCTGGGCACTAAGGATGAGTGGAGAGCAAGGTGAAGAAAGCAGTTCAGAAGGAAAGAAAAACAGGCTGATAATGGTGTTGAGAAAAGGGAACTTGAGGTTTCAAGAAAAAAAAAAAAAAAAAGAGCTGGGCAAGAGGAAGGAGGAAGGCTGGAAATAAATGTGACCTGGCCTCCACCTCATAGTGGGGATGGGATCGTTCCCTTCACCTCAACTGCTGTAACTGCCCAAAGGAGGGGGGGGTATTTTTCTTTTAAACTGGAGTTACAATTTCTGAGGGAAGGGAAAGTAAGAGCATTTGATGGTTCAAAGCAGCTTGAAGCAGGGAAGAGGAAGGGGCACTTCCTTCACCTGAAGTTTGAAGTGCCTGGGCTGGGGGGGGGGGGGGGGGCTCGCCAGGCCCGTGCTGCAGGCAGCACCATGGAGACCCAGGTCAGAGTCCCCCCCAACCCTTGCCGGCCAGCAGCCAGGATGACAGAGAGGGGACAGGTCTGGCTCTTAGGTTACCTGCTCTTTGGGTATTAGTTCCAGCGGTAAGGAGACACTGCAAAGTCATGTTACAAAACAAAACCCTCTACCTCGTTTCCTGCCAAAGGTAAGCCTCTTCTGCCTGGACTCCTAGCGGCCCAGAAGTGGTCCCACACGTCGAAGGGCTGGTCTTTAGCACCTAGACCTTCCCAGCCCCAAAGTGGTTTGACGGCCACAGGCTAAAATGAATAGTCAGGTGATACATCTATTACGGGTTTTAAAAGAAACTGGCATGTTGTGAGGCTATCTAATGAAAGCGGTCATGGTCGGGCTTCCACGTGCACCCGTGGGACCACTCTTGGATGGCAGAATGTGGCACTGAAGGACTCCCATCTGAGCCTGTAAGGCCAGCACACAGCAATGCCACTCTCCGATGGGTTCTCTGAAATGTTTAATTTGTTCTGGCAATGAAACTAACGTGGCATAAGGACTTAAGTCCTCAGGCTAGGCAAGACACTGTGGCCTTGGAGAAAGCCTCAAGGAGGCTGGCAGGAGGCAGTAAGATGGTGTGAAAGGGATGAGCTGCACAGATGAACTATGGGAAGGCTTTAGGTGTTGGGGCACAAGTGATGAAAGGGGTGAGGATGGACTGCCCCAGCCTTGACCTGGTGCTTAACAAGAAAAAAAATGCCCTTCCCTTCAATTACCAGGGAGAGACCTGGGGGCTGGGGGGGGGGGGGGGGGGGGGGGGGGTTTGGTGGCCCCCCCCCCACCCCCCAACGGACCTCTAAGATCGGAGAGCAAAGAAAAACCCTGGTAGGAACCCACCCGTGC